AGCCTGAGCAAGAGTGAGCCACTGTCTCTGTGAAAAAAAGAAATTAATGAAACAAAACAAAATGTGGTGTATGTATACTATGGAATACTACTCAGACATGAAGAAGGATGAATTAAAGCCTTTGTAACAATTTGGATGGAACTGGAGACCATTATCCTAAGTTAAGTATCTATATAATGGAAAAACAAGCACCACACATACTCGCTATGAAATTGAAACTAACTGATGAGCACACATGTGCACAGAGGGAAGTAAAACTCAGTGGAAATCAAGGTAGGGGGGAGAGGATGGGCAAAAACCTACCTGATGGGTACAGTGAACACGATCTGTGTGATGGGAACACTTGTAACCCTGACTCAAGCATAACAAAATTTCTATCTGTAAGCAAAAACATTTGTACCCATATAACATTTTGGAAAAAAAAAGATGGTAAATTTTATGTTAAGAGTATTTTACCACAATTTAAAACTTTCTAAAAAGTTGAACAAACAACAACAACAAAAAAAAAAAACAGAGGACTTTTAGCCAATAATTTTGATGAAATAAATATAAATTTGGAAAAGATTTTATGAATAAAGATATCCATTGTCCCAAACTGGAAAACTCAAATGCCTAATAATAATCGAATGGCTAAATAAACTACAGTATACCTATAGTTTTATTTTTTAATACTGTTTGTTTTCCTCATTTTTAAAATAATACAGGTTCTTGCAGAAAATTTGAGAAATAAACAATTGTAAAGGTATAAATAAAAACTATCCAAAACCCTAACATACAACGATAACCATTGTTAGCATTTGGTCTGCTTCTTCCAGAAATATTTACATATTTCTTGTACAAAATCAGGTGTATATTTTTTATTTAGATGTGTATCTTGTTTGTTTAAAATTTCTGCTGTATGTTACAGTGTATACACACTCAGAAAAGAACATTTTACTATGTATAAAGAACTGTGCTAAACCATGTGTATGAATTATCTTGTTTAAAAATCACAGGACCCCTTTGAGGTCTCATCCTCATTTACAGATGAGGAAATTAAAGATTAGGGAAGAAATTTGCTGAAAGTCACATAACTACTAAATGATGCAGTCAGCATTGAAATAC